TTGGATACAACTCAACCCACCAACTGCCCTTATCCCATTTTCCCTTCCACATATCCCATACACTAACATACATACATACATACCTACCATATAATATATATATATCATACACTCTCTCCACTCTTGTTTATAAAATAGGGAGAAATTCTTTTGTTCATATATTTACAAGTCATATCATTAATTTTTATAACAAAATTCTTTTTTTTTTACCTTTCATTAAATATTAATAAAAGAAAGTATGTTATTAAAGTATGCATATTTAATAAGTAAAGTTGAGAACTTATTAAATTTTTAAATAAAATGAATAAGTTTTAACGTTTTATTGATTATAATGAAACATATTAGGAGTGATTTATAAATAGAATCAAAGGAGTATATATATATATATATACATAAATCTATTTATGTATGTATATATGTATAGTTGGATGCATGCATGAATGTCATGCACACACTCTCTCACCTTTTGGGTTTACCCAAACGCAGAATATAAATACCGATGAGCATGTAATAATGAAGTACCCATTTCGTTAAAAAATATAAGTCATTTTTAATTAAATCTTATATTTTAATAAAGTAGTTACTTGTTTTTAAACCAATCTTATCTTTTTATATTTATCCTTATTTAATAAGGTATTTCATCCTAAAAAAATATAAAATAATTTATTTAATAAGGATACTTTTGCAAAAAAAAATAATGATTATATCTTCAAAGATTTTATATTTTTGAACAAAAAGGGTATATATAATGCTATGAATGAATATAATCAACCTTTTTCATTTTCCATGTGGATAATTTGACTCTTTATTTTTTTTCCTTTTTTCTTTTTTTTTTACTTTGATTGAGAGTGTAGAGTGGTTGAAGTGTCTAGAAGTTAATATGTTTTTTCCCCTAAAAAAAAATTGTAGTTGTGCTCATAATTTTGCACTTTTAATCATCACCACTTTGTCGGCTCTTTCTTGTTGGTATTCCTTGGTCCCTGCATGTGGATGATTGCAATGTATGTAGTATCTGTCAATAAGGATAGAGATAGAAACTCTTGATTTTTCGTTTTTGGGGAAGATAGGGGTGGGCATGAATTTAGAGATTAATAAGTTGCCACATTTTTAAGATTTGTGAACATTGTGGCTTACTATAAATTTTATATTTTATATTAATATTCATTATATATATCTATATATATCATATATATTAAAAATCATTAGGTGGGAACAAATTAATTGAAATTAAGCTTCATTAATTTTTTTTCAAAAATTACAAATTCAGAAATTCTAATTATAAATAAGATAATTAAGTTCTAAGTAGAATTCTCAGTTTGTAATCAAGATTTTTATTTATAATTTTTGAATCAATATTTATAACTAATCTTTTAAAAATTTATTGATAACCTGACTATTATTAATTAATTTGATCTTTTGGGGGGACAATACTATCATTCACCCTAAAAATTATCTGTCAAAATTCAAAAGTTTAAGGTTGATTATCAATTTTTAAAATTAAAGGAATGTTCATAAATGATGATCTTGATTTAATTAAGAGAAGAGAATGACACTCACCTTAATCCATGATTAAATTAAAAGAAGTTGATATACATTGGTGCAGTAGTTTGAAGCAAGCAGGTTAAGGAAAGGGCATGCTGGAGACAGAAATGCAAACACTTGAAAGCTTTATAGAAGAAAAAGGTTTCAATTGGGATTGAGTTTGGCAACTAATTAAAACAAACAAAGAAAAGTGTCCCCACTTTTGACAAATTTTAGATTCTTCTTGTTCTTTTTTATTTTTTATTTTTAAATTTTTTGTTGTTGTTTGAGATAATAATGCATTATATATATAGTAGTGTTCTGACTTGCTAGTTGCTACCATTCCCTCTCCACATGATAAAATGATAAGATCAAAAATATCTTTGCCATCAGTCCTTTGATTTATAATATATTTCTAAATCAGTGTGGGACAAAACAAAAAGGCAGAATCTAAACTAATGTCATTGTGAATCTAATTATTAATTATAAAACAAATTTAAAGAAAAAGTAGTAAGACCAACCAAAAAAAGAAAGGTGGGTTAATCATTCATTTACCCCCTTATTTAGGTAGAACGACTATATCTATTTGCTTTTCTTGATAAAAAATTGTAATATAATTCATTGTTTAAAAATAACTCTAGAATCATCTTAAAAATAAGTTTGTCCAAGTTTAACTTGAAATCTGTTAAACAAATTAGTGAAGTTTATACACACACCAACTAGTTTTTAATAATCATATGGGATGCCCACAAAACTAAATTTGAATGGATTAGACTACAGAAGCAGGCATAAAATGCTTCAAATGTTTTTTTTTTTTCAAACATATGACTCAAACTTAAGACATTACTTCAAGAGAATAAATACTGAACTACTTAAATTTAGCGAAGTTTTGTGGATAAATAAAAAAAAGCCTAAACAATGTTTGTTATTTTTTTAATTTAGTCGGTAATGGACTTTGTAATAATTAATTCTCTTACATAGGATTTCAACATAATTCTTTTTAAAAAAAAGAGCCTAATCTTGAAAGACTCCATGATAAAACATATCCAAATAATCAAAGTCTGATTTAAATTAATATGTTTATTTGTGCAAGTCAAATTTATAGGAAAAAATGTAGAAGAAGGCAGAGAGAGATTTATGATTGGAAGCACAAGATATGACATGATTATACCGACAAAGGATTGTCCCTTTTCTTAGAGAAGAAGTGAAGGAAAATGATTGAAGCGATTCAAACAAAGATTAAAAAAAAAAAAAGGGAATCAATTTCCCAAAGCTAGAAAGCCCAATATTCTGGGTTTGTGATTGCTTCTAAATCCTAACAGAAACAAGGCTAATTCAAGATTTGTCTCAGATTACTGGGTCCTGACTCTCGCATTATATATCATAATGAAGAATCTAACAATAGTGTTTATCATATATAACCCCTCCTTTTCTTCCCCATAAATATGCCTGCCTTACATTTTCAAATAAAAATATAAAAAAAAAAGGTTCATGAAACTTAGATGTATCGGTTAAGCTGGGTGTCACTTCAAATAACTCAAAGAACAAATCAATTTAAGAATTTTTGTTAAACAAACCCACCTATCAATAGAATTTTAATTTATGAAATACCAATGACCCAAGTAAATATCATGACATGGTATGATAGAGGTTATCTTTTATATTATTACATGATTAATTTTTTTATTTATATATCATAGACTAATTTTTCTCAGTAACTTGTCAGCTATTTTACCTTGAATTCATTGAAACCTTACTTGGTATGAAAGAGAAAAGGAGTAACCCCCCCCCCATATTTTGTGTGTATAATTATTATTTGACTATATTAATATTTTTATTTTTAAAAATAGATATATACACTTACTTTTTTGTTTTAAAATTTAAATATTTATTATTTTATATGCCAATTAATTCCAAATAGAACCAACTATATTTAAAGAAGAAAAACAGAAGTTGAACTTTGTGAGGGCAATGGACTTAGTTCAATTATGAAAGAAGCGTCAAAAAAGCACATCAGTATGTGATGCTCTGATAACTAATAGTCATATCACATCAAATGAACGAAACTTGGTCACATAAAGGGGAACAAAGTTAAGATTCCAAATGCACTTTCTCATTACAACAAAGCTGGGGATTAAAGAATTGATAAAAATAAAGCACATTTATCATGAATTATGCACTTTCTTAAAATGGTATGTATATTAAATAAATTGACTTTTGTAGGAGATGTAACCAAATCATGAAAAAATAGATACCCATGTCAAGTGAACCACATAAAAAAAAAACAAAAAATATTATAACATAAATGATATACTTAATCTGCTTAATTTAAAGAACAGAAAAATTCAACGTCATGCAATTTGATTGTGGGTGGTTTCAATTCTTACACGTTGTGCACCATAATTGGTAAATAATTAAAAACCAGAATTCACCTTTAAATTAAAAACTGAACCAAAGATCCTTTGATCATGCAAATTGATTTTGTTGGGTCAGCACTGTCTTTCCATTAACATATTTGTCAAAATTCCCAATTTTACCTTCTGTTGCACTACACCAAGCTGCCTTTACCCTAAATACAAGACGATTGAAAGGAGATTTTTACTCATCTGAAAAATAATTTAAAAGAAAAAAAAATCTCACTTATTAGTACAAAATATTCACTTCTTGAAGGAAAGTACAGGAAGAAAAATATACTTCAATCCTAGAATAAAATACCATTTGATTCACACTTTAACATAGAATCAATATCAATATTAATATCAAATACAAAATTTACATCATAAGCCCTCAACAGTATAGCTCATTTTTAAAATTTTCCGTGATGCACAAGGCCTAGCAAGTGAAAATGAATGGCAACACTCATCTGTTTCCCCATTCTCATAAATCATTCATTGGCTTCATCCTAATTCTTATCCTCATCCACCTAATTTTATAACCTGTTTAAATGCTCATCAGTCTGTAGGATAAAAATTTAAACAAAATTTGAGCTCTTAGTTGAGTCTAAAAATTTGTCATTTACATGAATTTTCTCACAGGCTTACACTGTCAGAAAAATTATCTATCATGAAATATACAGAGAACTAGAAGAAGCAACAACGAAGGCCTTTCCACCTGAGTGATGAAACTTGGGAGACAATACATTCACGTTCAGAGAATTAAAGAGCAACTCACTCAGAAGCAAAGGCCATGACATATCTTCTCTTTGGTTCAAAAACTTATGTGGGCCGAAGACATTAAATTCCACACAAGAAAGCAATTATAAACCACCAAAGAGAAAGAGAATCATCATTACAAGTTATTCCCTCTGGTTTTAAATGTAGTTAGACAATTTATTCACAAAGATTAAGTTAATTATTTGTAAAAAAAAATGTTAGTTTCCTAAAAAATACCTCTTTTTAATCATTGACATTGAAAACTACCCTTATTGATTGATATGTGCTATCAATCGAGGTAGTTTAAAAAAAAAAAGATAAATAAGAGACATAAAAAAGATTAGGGTCTTACATTTAAAGACTAAAACAAACTTCTTAATTAGCCCCTACATTTAGTATCGGATGAAGCATTTAATTCCCAGCCTCAAATAAGCCAGAAAGATTGTAGAGGCCTATTAAAATGCAATGAATCCCCAACGCAAACTTCTTGCAGGAAACAAAAATATTCTAGCAGTTCAATAGTCTGCAAAACTGCTAACCTTTACAACAAATCCATTAAAATAAAACCTAGTTAAGAGATCATACAACGATATTGCTCGCAGGTAGATAAATTTATCTGTTTCTTAAACAAAAGAAATAAATCTTACAGACTCATCATAATCTTTATAATGTCGAGCAGGTTTACCATTTGCAGGATATGATGCAATTCATTAGGCATCTCAATAATTATCATCATCAATCAGCCCCCATCAACTGCATAGTAAGAAATTAAAATCAGTGTTCGAATTACAAATTGTTCTCCAGAAATCTACGTTGTGTGATTTTTAGTTACTTAAGCGATACAATTCTGTAGACTGTTCATGCTTATATTGTTAACAGATTTACAAAAACACATTCATTCTTGATAACCCTAATTCCCTAATGCGTGAAATAACTGAAAATTTCACTTTTGAAAAAGAAAAGTTTCCACGACTTGAGTTGCAAAAAAAGTGATTAAAATTTGGAAATGAGAACAGGATATTCATCTATATATATATATTACAAGAACCTTGTAAAACCAGTTTAACATTTTGTTTCATGAAAACGGATACGATTCATATGAAAATAAAGTTTCAAATTTGGGCTTCAAGACCTCAAGTATTCAGCCACAATCCTATAAAGTTGGGCATGTCAGTCTTGTTTGAGGAAAAAAAAATGTTTGTTTTCTTCAGAAGCAAGTTAAAATGACGAAAAATCAGAGAAGTTGGCAAATGAAAAGAGATGAAAAATATCAAACCAACCTTTGTAAGGAAATTTCATCGCGAAGCATATAAAAAGCACTTTCACAAGTCAATTTATTAATCAGACCTTTTAAGCTTATTAGTTAAATAACTAGTTACAAATTTTCTTCTTTAACAAAAATTCCTCCAATACATCAAGAGAGATACAAATAAATCTGAAAAAATATAAACTAATAAAAACTGAACAGTAAAGATTTACATGCATCAAGCTTTTTAAACACAATGTCCTGTCGTAGACAATAAATTAAATTACAAACAGTTGATAAATCTACTAAATTAAATATTTATTTACTCGACTAAATAGATCAGAAAAATAAAATAAAAGCAGAATTGCATTCAAGGACCTCTTTAAGAGAATTATTCAGAGACAAATTCTCTTGGGAGGTCCTTGGATGTGATTCTCCCAAAATTCATAAAATTGCGGTCGATGAGTTTTTAAAATAATTTATCAAATATCAAATAAATTAGATATCCAATAGTTTATCTGTCCTGTCCATGTCAAGATGGCTAGTATTAAATTATAAAACGGCGTGAAGAGGCTACCTTGAATATATCTCCAAACATTCCCATAGGATTCTTCCGTTGTACTCCGTAGAACTTCTCTGCTATATCATCCAACATCTAGATCAAAGTTTCAAGTCAAATGATGATGAGTTTCTGTTAAATGCAGAGATATAAATAATTATAACATAAATACATAACAGAACTCACATAGAATTAAAGTCCACAATCATGGATAAATTACGTATCTACCAATAAAATTAGCAAGCGAGATCACCTCGTTGAATGCAGGTTCCCTTTCAATACTTGATTTATAATTTGTTCTCAACATATTAAAAAGAGGCAATGCATCTCTCTCCAACCTGCAAGAAAAGTCGGAATAAATTATTCTCCTATAGAGTTAGAGACTCCAAAGAAAAAATCAAAACAAGTGAGGCTGAAGGCTCAAAATGCTACAGAGCAGCCAAGTCCCTTTTCATATCAGACAATAAGAGTCCCTTAAAAGCACCATGCATGAAACATCAAACTGAAGCCATAAACACAATCATTAAACCAAAATGTTTGTAACCGCAAAGAAGTTGCCTTGAAATTAAAAGATTCCAACCAAGCCAAAATAATAAATAGAGAAGTTGTGAATTCAGACAAAATTGCCACAAAATCCTCTAAATCTTGGTACTTTTCAACAGACAGTGCACACTGACGATTGATGTGGAGAGTCAGGAATGCAAATTTGATCAATCAATCTATGAAGCATGACAGCTTACGTTAGCAAGAGAAAGTTGATGAGCTGCATTAAATCTGTCTGAGGAAATTTAATCTCTTTAGATGCAACTTCATTCTTTATCTCTTCCATCAATATGTTAGCATCTCTCAGATTGCCTGAAGATAAATACCTGTCACGCAAGAAAGGAAGCAACTCCTAAGCCTAAAACCCAGTTGTTATATACAAGAAAGTACAAGCGAGTTGCACAAGCAGGGAGAAAAGCATTCAAAAGTTTACCAACAGGACGAGTGCACATAATGATATCCTGGACATCCGCTCTAGGATAGTGGCAGTGTATTTGGGTTAACAAGGAAATCTTTCACAAAATATCCAGTCATATAGGTTGGCAATTCTAATTTAGAGACTCATAGCCTGTTTGACATTGGTTAATTTCCAAACTAAACAACTAATTTTTTTTCAGAAATAAAAGATACTTATTTCTAATTTTGTTAGTATATACCGTATTTCAAAAGTTAATTCTAATAAAAAGTAAATTTTGTTAGTGTTAAACAACTAGGTTGATGGTAGAGTACAATAGCGCTATGCAATCCATGTAGCCGACCCCACCTAGTGGGCTTCTTGTTTTGTTGTTGCCGATTTTCAAAAATCTAATCTTTTTCCAATTTTTAATTCTTCTGCCTTCATATGATTATTTTGATATATTTTATATTGTGATTGTATTTTCCATGTTTTAAATTTTAATCAAACAAAAAATTAGAAATATAATTAAAATTAACCACAGCGAATATTTAAAATTATTTATCTGTACAAGTAATATTCATTGCAAAGTCAAATTATGTGTCCGGTTTATTAATTTAACAGTACAAAGCATTCTTTTGAAAGACTTACCGAACCCAACAATATTGATAAAAGTGCTTATCAAAAGATTAAGCCAAACACAGGCTGCCTCTTTCTTACCATTCTCTTTATGAACTCCATTTGTAAGAAAAGAAAGAAGTTTCAAAAACAGTAGAAGTCTACAGCAGTCCCAAATGAGCCCTCAATCTTAAAAGTGCAATAGACAATGAAACCACTTGTACTATTAAAAAAATTATTATTTTTACATCAGTCAATAATATGAAAGCTCTCTTGCATATGATATCCTGGACTGGAAGACTTCAAGTAAGACAAGGAATCATAGCAATAGCTCAACATTGAAGCTAGGAACTGTATCAATGAAAACTTAGGCACTGATACATGCTGCAATCTAGAAAGCTATCTAAGCCAAGTCAAAATGCATTATAAAAATAAAAAACCCAAGAATAATCTCATTCATAGTGAAATAGACAAAAGCAGACTAAATATAAAGGATTATCGCTAAACATTTTGATGAGTTCGCTGCAGCTCATACTACTAAAATATATAGTTGGCAATGTTATCATATGAGAGAGGAGGATAAGAGGGAGATTGGAAATGAAGGTTGTGGCTGAACTAAAAGGTTGAAAGTGCATTCTAGAAGAAGCAGAGGAAGACGGGGAAGGAGGGCAGAAAGGGAAAAATTCAGGATGATAACTAACTGACATACAGCAAGCTAGATGACTGAGTATGAGGCAATAAGAAAGTACTTGAGAGGTGGGGAGGTTTAAGGATTTAGGTAAAGGATTATGTGGTATAGCAGCCCACTCATGTGCGAGCATTACTTTTCTTTCCACATTTCTGCATCTTCTGTGTTGAGTGTGTGGTTTTTTGGACTGTTCTGTTACATAATCTGTGGTCGTTTCTCTTGGATGAAGGATTACTATCAAGCATTGATGCTAATCAAATTTCCTAATTGTTCTGTGCTTGATTTCAATTACAGTAGCGGAAGGTTTCTATCACTTTTCAAAGCGAGCATCAGAATGATCATTGCTTTTACCTTAAAACTGCCCTAGCAATGGCCAAGTCATCTTCACCTGGATAACACTACAAAAAGTAAGAGGCATATCAGTTGAACATTCTCATAACAAAGACAAAATGACAAAAGGAAATCCTCAATTACCTTTTCCAAATCAGTTGTAGGACCCAATAATATAACACAATAACTAAACAACATAGCCAGATCATCATTGAATGCCCCAACCAAGTTTTAGTAGGAAAAAAACAAGGGAAGAAATGTTTGGCAAACCACATAGGAATTTGGTAAATTTGAACCAGACAAAGTATGAGAATAGAGCCACACAGAAAAAAATGGAAAATGGGAGTAGGCTAACCTTGCCCATGAAATCAACGAGAATAGAAGCAAACTTCTTTGGATTATTTCCTCTCACAAAATGGTTTGTTACTCTAGCCATATCCTGCATGTCAGAAGTATACTGAGTCAACGGACTGGGAATCAAGATCATATTACTTTTAGCATTAAGTGAAGCTTTTCAAAATGCAAAGCATAATCTCCTTTCCAACAGCATATTAATGTAAATAGACACAATCTACTTCAAGGAGTCCATGTATGTAGAGACTAAGGGACCTTGCCAGCGATAAGTCAGCTATTACCCGCCACAGATTGGCATGCAGTTCAATACAGCAGCTTACTAAGATTTTAGGATTCCATAGTTTAACAGGGCAAATTATTAAACTAAAGGTAAAGTGACGATAGTGCACTTCTAAAAACTTCAAACTTCTAGCAGCCATAAGCACAAACAAGGCATACACTCAGCTGAGGTGTTTGCGTTAAACAAGGTTCTGGTCGTCACACATATGCCAAGGATGCTTCCCCCAGGCATGCTGATCCTAGTATCCAAAATACATCAAGCAAAAGCCCTAAAAAGATGAAGACAAGGATACTTCGCTTATTTGGACTGAAGGATGGAATTCTCAGAAGCAATACCAGCTCATAAATTACAAAATGAATGGCATAACTTCTCCCATTCCTCCCTTTTTCTCCCCGCATTTTTTTTCCTTTTTTCTTCATCTTCTATTATTTGCCTTCTCTTCTCTGCCCCCCCCCCCCAAAAAAAAGTGTTTGAGATTTTAAAGTAACAGGAAGAGATAGAAAAGGGGCAAAAAGTCCATTTATCGCTACAGGTATATTCAATAAGAAATTCAATGAAGTTCACCTATCTTCTCCGTCTGAGAAAAGAATTCAAAGATAAGGTTTTTCTTGATGAAAAATTTGCTTAACAAGATATGCTTGATTGTTTTATACTACTAGATCATAATGATATACATGCCACACGTCAAAGTTCATCTCTTAGACATAATAACATTGATCAAATTCTTGTTGTCATATTGATTGCTTGATATGTAAAAACATATGGCAGTGTATGTTAACTTTACCATTCTAAATTGTGCTTTTAGTTAGCTATACACAACTTTGTTCTATTTAATTTAGAATTTTACAGGATACTATTTAATTGATGCAGGGCAAAGAGCCTTAAAAATAACTTTGTTATGTTGATTACTTTAATGTATCTTTAGTAGGAATAATTTAGAAATTGTATTTAGTTGTTGTCGGCAACTATGAGTTAATAATGGTAGAAATAGTCTTATTAGGGTAACAGATAGCTTAGGAAAAGTTATAGAAGATTGTTTACTTGTCAGTTAAGTCTTATTATGCTCACAGAAGGCCTGCTATGTGCAAAGCGAGGAAAAATTTATACGTTCAGCTCTACTTCAACCAACAAGTGAGAAGAAAGTCTTCATACAGCTAATGGTAAAAAGTAAAAACCTTCAGAATGAACTGTCGCATGTACTATACAGAGTATAAATTCAAAAGAAGCAGCAACAAAGAACATAAACTAGAAGTAATTTTGACACATACCACCTCAGGCGATTCATAATAAATGTATTCAGCTAGCATGATGTGCAATTCTGGAGATCCATAATTATTTGCCCCAAACTCTGCGGACCACCTGAGCACAATAGCAGTATCCACATTACTACAAGTTCAAATCAATAAACTTGTAATTAAAATTGACTTTTACATTTAAATGAGAATTGCAGTTCTTCTGCTATTGGGTAAAGTCTAGCAATTCAGATAATGGAAAATGTAGCTTCAGGTACAGGTTCATTTTCATATTCTGTAGATTCTGTGCGGAAAATGCAGGACAGAATCAAAGGATTAAATAGGACTATTAATTTTTGAGCCGGTGTACCCTATAAGCCACTTGCAAGATATCATTGGATTCACCAGAAATAAGAGAAATCCTCAAAGTATTCATTATCTTCAATGAAACTTAATAAAACCTCAAATTGATTACTATTGAAATTTGAATTCACAGGGACATTTAATCACTTTTACTGCTTTGTCCAGGCAAGTTAACAAGGGAGCTTCATTAGTGTCAATAAGATTTCAGTGAACAGATCCATTTGTGATTGGCCCTTTTCTTTTTCAAATTATTTCCTTGTATGTTGGCCAAATATCAAGGAATCATAAATCCCCTTTTAAATTGGCTGCTTGTATATATGTGTGTGCGCTCACTGCTTCCAGCTGATTTGTAGATCAATAAGAGAGATAGTCATCACACCATTTCTTCATCTTTTGGCACCATTTATTCAAAACTGATCATATAAAACTGATTATAAGATATCTTATCACTACGAGAAATTCTATAGACAAAGTAACGTTTGATGCATCAAAAATCATTGGCACCAAAAAGCAACTTCTTTTAGGACGCTCAGTAACTGCAGAATTTAATTATGAACATCTTATAACCATAAATGGTGCCACCTGATAGCAGCTCTTAAGAATGAGGAGCAGCCCTCCACACGTGTTTTTGCAGCCCCAAGGGCCTCAGAAATCTGTTGCATATCATCATCAACTCTCAAGTTTTGCAGAAGTGGAACCCGAGGAAAAGCTTTGTAGATCTTCTCAAGGCGGTCTGCCAGATATTTTTTACATTTGTAAAGTGTGAGGTTAGAACCAAAATGAGAAGTAAAAACATTTACAAAATATGCAAAAAAGACCACACATCACAAATTTCCCATCTCCTTGAGAAAGGGATAAAAGATAAGCAATTATATTGCATCACAAATGGAAACAAGAAATAAACTACTGGTATCAATAAAACTTTAAAAGACAGTAAAAGGGCACACCAAGAGTTTCATCATCATAACGAATTTTTGCTTTCACTAGTGTCTCCACAAATAATAAAGCAAGTTCTGCCCCACAGGTGACCTGAAGAGGAACAGAAAATAAGAGTTTCTTTCATAAATATTTCAAATGCTGGTTAGTATTAATTTCATTACTAGAGATATTAAAAACTCATATTCAATCATATCAAATTAATTTCCAATAGAAATATCTATCATCTCATACTTGCAGCTGTCTTAGATGTGCCAAATACATTGTCTAACAATAGACAGTAGAAGCCAACCATAAATAAAACTTCAAATGTTTAAAAGCAAACTCTGAAGGCATATAATGCCTGATCAAGATTATAGTGAATTTCAATTTTGATTGAAGAGAAAGCTAAGCACACAACTCTGTATGCAAGATAATAGATTCAGCAAAACATGCATATACAAAATAAATTACAGCACAAGAAAACAATTCTGTTTACAAGCCCTTCAGTATTAGTACGCTTAAATCAAGTGAGCAAGTGACAATACACACCCCCCCAACATTAAAAGAAAGGAGCCAAACAATAGTTAAATTTCAAAAGATGTCTAGGATTCTTTTCCTGACCAACAAAGATGTCTAAGATTGGTTTTGCCAATATTTCTAGTGTACCTTCTCATGAAAAATCTCTTTAAGCTTGGAATATAAATAAAGAATACGCACTTCATCTTGGGTTGCAAATTAATTTCAATTGTAGAAATGGAGAGGAACAAGGATAGAACTCTTGACTCCGGATCACATAAACTCATCAGCTTAAGTTGTTAAGCTAAGGCCCCGGATTGATTTTACAACCATCTCCAAGAGAACCATTAGCAATTGCAGTAGAAACCATAAAAGTTATTGCAATTCAAAAGGTCTGTATATGTAGGGATAAAAAATTTTCCTTCCCCTAATTTCTGAACATGTCTCTGCATCATTTTCCATTGTTAATAAATGGGGGAAAAAACCTTTGTTTCATTAACTGAAAGTGGTTAATAACCTTTTACTTTAGAAGAAAAGTACTACATGCCAATGATCATTTTCCATCATGCCTGAGTAGAGACTGTGAACATGATAAAAATTTATCCAGAAAAATATTGAAATTATAATTATGTAACCTGTCCATGTGCCAATTGAGTGCATGCTCCTGATTGTAGGAGATCTAATGCTTCACAATACCGCTGAGCAGATACATATCTGCAGTGAAGTAGGAATCCTTCATTAGTGTCCCTTTTTGATGAAAAAGAAATTAATTTTACAAATTAAAAGATGATTTCATTTCATGACAAAGTGGTCCCTTAGACGAAGAGAAAATAACTACAGCAGATCGACTGATCATTGAAAATATTATTTACCATTGCAGATCAAATTATAAACAGGTTGCAAGGGAAGTACACTTCTCTATAAAATTTAAGTACGAGTTTAAAGAGAAATATCATAGAGATGATGCTTTAACCTGGCGCTGACAGATTTGTACATTTGTTGAGCTCCATAATAATTGCCCTCATTTACAACTTTCTGCAACTTATCAATATTCTGCATTTTCCAAATGATAACAACAACAACTCGTACATGTTAAATCGAAAACATTTGAAGAAATGTCAAACGATTATGCGTGCCAGGAGCAACTCATACTAAGTGCAAGTCAGAAGTTTGAATTTGAAAATTATCAAAAGTACAAGATCCCAAAAATAATATAACTTCACAATCTCCTAGGCAGTAGAAAGATAATCATATACCCAGTAACCACTATATAAGAAACAGAAAATCTCTTCGACCATAGCAATCACACACAATTTGCTTAACTTAAGATAATCTTCTAATGACTAGACTCATCCTTCGTATATTTGAATAAAATCCGACGAAAGCATTGCGTCTATGATGGAGCATCATTAGAGAAATTACAAACAACAGACAACCATGCAGAACAATTCAAGAATATCCTTGTCAACTGAGAAGCAAAACATTGTCTACAATCCGTCAATTCACATAAACCCATTATCTAGAACATTATACTTAAGTTAAGACATTAGTTCCCAGAAATGTAATTTCCAGTGAACTGAACCTAAAAACTGCATAAATTCTTTAAAATTTACACTCACTTTTCATTGATTTCCCACGCGAAATAGGAAGGCCATAATTTCCAGAGAAAAAGCAAGATAACAAGGAATCACACATTCATGGATCGTACCTCTAGGGCCGGAGGAAGTGCGCCTCTTTTGAGTCTCTCACGCGACATAAGAATTTTCGGGGTTTTAGGCAGTCTCTTGTAGTCTTCGCTCCTGCAATGGAAGCGATCTCGGTCGCACTCAACGCTTCAGCAGACCAAGAAAGAAAGTGAGGTGGAGAAGCCAACGGAACAGATCCCCAGCGTTCGAGTCTTTTGGTAGTGAGCAGGGGTTGATCGACAAACGACGATGGAATCAAATTGAGTTTGATACCGAAAAAGCTCTCAGTCTTGCAGACATCTATCGTGAGAATTTCAGCGGCGACATGGCGAGGATTTTCAGTTTATCACTTAGCAATAAATTCAGAACCCCAAAAAAAAAAAAAATCCAGAATTTCATATAAATCCTAAATAAAAGCACTAATTACAAGGCAAGGCATTGCTCATGATAAATATTGAAATTTAACACCTAAATATAAAATTTGATTAGTAAATATATTAAAAATAACTAATTTTTTATATAAGACATGATTGTAATTTACCTAAGAAATTTGAAACCAAAAAAGAAATAATAAATGAGTAAATTACTCTTGAATGATCAAGTATTATAATAAATTTTATGCTTATTTATTGTACAAATTATTTTCACAACTTTTAAAATATTATAGTCTGGTCCTCTTATTAATAAAAGTTAACTTTAATCATTAGTTGATAAAAAAAATCAAAAATTACATATAAGGACAAAAAATCACTTGAAAGGAAAAAAATTTGATCATTTTTTATTTTCTAATTAATTAATAGTTAAAATTAATTTTTATTAATGACAAGGTCAGATTGTACTATTTTTAAAAGTTAACAATTTACTCAATAAATAAATTTAGAATCTATGATATTAATAAACTTAAAGTACATGGAGTAATTTACTCATTTATCTAAAAAAAAATTATTGTCTGCTCTACACTCTCTCATTTTAAAAAATTTTAAATAATTAAATAAGGTAATATTTTAACGTATTATTTATGAATATTATATTAAAATTAGTCAAATTTGAAAAATATACACAAAATTATTGTCTCCTAGCCCGGTCCACATTCTCGTGTTTTTTTTAATTGATCCCATTAGATTTATATAATTAATTTGTTGGAACAAAATGACAAGCGATTAAATGTATGTCCAAATATTTGTTTCATGTTTAATGTTCACATGTGCTTGACTTCTTTCTAGTTCTTGGTAATCCTTTATGCACCATGTTATGGTTGCCTCCGAGTGTCCATCTACTTTGCAGATTATCATTTCTTCCAATCTTACTAGTCCTACCAACCCTCCTCTCCTTTATGCTCAAAACCTACCATGGTTTTTTCTTTGTTTTTGTGCAAAATCTTGATTCTAGTAGGTCACACAGTTCCAAGTTGCAAGCCTTAAAATAATATGTCCACGATTTCAGGTCCTTATTTCAATTTCTTCTCATATTTTGCTTCACTCCCAAGCTGCTCAGTCTAGCGGATCTTATTAAATCAAAATGTGTGTGTGTGTGTGTGTTTGTGTGTCTTGGAGTTTGAGAGGATTCCAAGAATTTAATAATGATATATTGAGTTCACTTACTTTTGTTATTGACATCTCAAGCTTTGTTTTCAAATAAATTATTTGACCTAGACGTGCCGAAACATACAAAATCCTATCCAAGACAGAGAAACTTAAACAAATGTGAAGTCTTTTACCACATTGTCCGTAAAATGCAAGAAATTTAGGAAACAATGACATCAAATATGAACTAGAAATTGAATAATTACAATGCAGTGTCTTTGAGAATACCAATGCAAGGTAGTAATTAGAAATGAACTTGCTTTTTTTGAAACTAATTGACAAGTGTCTAAATGATGATTCAGCTGAATATAAAAATAGCATTGGTTAGATTAGATACAAATAATGAGTGAAAGTGAAATAGATTGGAAAGTTGAAGATGCAGAATCCTCTCGAGATTTGTTTAAAATAGCATTGATTGGTGATGAATCACTGTCGTCCAAATCTAAGGTATAGAGGTGGCTCAGCAGAGTCCAATGTGTTCTTTTTCTTTTTCTTTTTTTTTTAAGGAAAAGAGAAAAATCATTAACTTAATATTTCTTTTGAATTCTTTTTCCATGAATACAAACAAATTTGAAATTTTTTCCTTGAAGGGAGCCGAATAAAAGTTTTTCTAAATACCTTAATTATTGTCTTAACTGCTAAACTTCTAGATATGTTGTAAATGGTTTAAATTTTGTTGAATGACAAGTTTATTAAAGTTCACGCTTATTCTAACTCTATTGAAGCTCTCTTGCTAATTCCTCATAGTTGTAATGAGAATCATCCTCTTTTTGAAAAGGATTATAGGCAATGTTTTCAGAACTAGATTGGATATTAAATTGAAAAGGTTAGCAGTTTACGATTCGCATGGTTCAACCGGGTCGAACCAATGGTCGAACCAATGACGTAATAATTAAATTAAAAAATTATATATGTATATAATAATTTAAATATAAAAAATAAATATGAAATCACTACTTAACTTAAAAATAAAAATAAATATTTTAAATTTATTTTGACTTAATAAGCCATATGATACAATATAATATTAAACGATTAAAAAAATTAGTTAATTTTTAAAAAAATTGACAAAAAATAAAAAAGAGACATTTTTTAAATAGTCTGATTTTTAAAAACTGAAACTAGTTCCCGGTCTGATTGCTGATTCAAAGCAACCCAATCTAGCCCAACTTTTCAAACAATTTTTTTGACTCGATCGAACTGTTAGCCTGACCAATCAATGGTTCGATTGGTCCAACCATCCGATTCGATTTGATTTTTAAATCATTGGTTATAGGTTATTTTTATCCTCGAATTATACGCAAAAACTTATAAATGATTCTAAATTCAAATAAGGGTCATTTATACTCCTCATCCATTATGAATTTGATTTCTAACACCCTGTCATTAAGTCTATCTATTTTAACATTTGAATTTTTAATATTTTTAATTATAAAATACCTAAGTGGGTCTCACCATTTATTTTTTAAATATTTTTTTTATTTTTTCCCTCTCAACAATCTTCATGGCTTTGCAACAGCCATAGTGGTTCTCTCACATTCCTCATTAAAGCATTTCTTGCTCCTCAACTCATGCATGCCCATAAGCCGATGCCAGCAAACTCAGAAGGAGCTCTCTCATCTCAGATCGGCACACGATGTAGTCCATGCCATACCCCTTCTTTTTCTTTGCACTAGTTATTACCTCTGCAGCTAGGACATGAGGCTTGTTAATGGTATGCAAGTGCCCTTTGAATCCTCTCTAGTTTGAGGTCACACAGCCCATCCTCTTCAAACAACAATTCAATTCAATTCTAAAATATAATTTATACATATTTATACACAATAAGCATGATAAAATAAAAAAATGAAAAAAATATTTTGAATAAAAATGATGTCATAAATTATAAATTATCTTATTCAAAATTTACATATTCATTTTTCTTATTATATATGAGTATTTCTTTCTATTCTAAATATATAGTATTTAAAATATACTAATTTATTTATGACTAGCCGTACCTTAGTTTAGACCGTAGTCCAACCATTGAACCATAAAATGGTACCTTAACCGATTTAATGATCGATCTTTTCTTCATATCTCTACTAAAGGTACATGTTATTTATTGAAGCCTTCAATTACTAGATAATTGTTAATTTTTTGCTGGCCAGAACTCGATAATTGTTAAATATTATTACTTGGTTGTTTGCAAAACAACTCCATTAACAACTACTCCTTTCCATTTTCAATACAAGGTTTGCTCTGAAAGCTTTTTTTTTTTTAAGTATAAGATAAAATTAGAATAATTAACTTTATTTTTAAATCTTATCTTTATCAGTTCATTTATTATAGTTTGAATTCTAAATATTGAATTATGGTTACTATTATCGATTGCAAAACAAATCAAATTAGAATATTACATATTTTTTAAATTTTAAAGATGTATTTAATATTTTTTTAATAAAGACAAATTAAGGACCGCAATGAGTATTTAATAATAATAGACAACTATAAAATAATAAATTAAAAATTTTGATAAAAACACGAGACTTTTGTTATAAGGAAAATGCGAGGTTTTACAATAATTTTTTGCTTTTATGAGAATTTTGTTAACACCGTGATTTTTTTTTGTCATTGTTCTTAAATATTAATTATTTATATATATTATATAATAATTATGTTTTATTATTATTTTAGCATATAACTATTTAATATTCTTACTGTTAAAAAATATAAAATATTTTTTAAAAAATTATATATTAAAAAATATAAGATATTTTGAATCTTTTAAGATGTAATTATTATATTTTTTTATAAAAATATCTTTATTAAATATATTATTTTATATTTTTTAAAATAAAATATTTTATTAAATAAAAATAAATAGAAAAAAATAAAATTGATTTAAAAATGAGTAATTATTTTATTAAAATATAAAATTTAATTAAAAATATTTATAAAAAAAGTACGTAAATATTTTCTATTGTTTAATTATCAAAAAAAAAATTAAAAATAACATCTCGTGCAGTGTATGGGAGTGATTGACTAGTTTTATATTAGACATCTTGACGTGGAAGCTACTGTAATTTCCCCCAAATTAAAAGGTCAGGTTAACGGAACTTTCTTGGCATCACGTTCAGCTGCGATACTATTACTGCCTGTTTATTCCACTTCCTCCTTCATTCTTCTCCTCTATTGAATTTGAACTCCAGTGTCGCTATCCCATTTCTATAATTCCATCTCCTCTGTTTTTCGATCTTGGGTTTTTGTTGAAGAAATATGTTGTAGAGCACTGATGGACTGGAAAGGAGCTGGTGAAAGTTGGTCTGTTAGCAAAAGAGAAGGAAAATGACGTTGAATCTGAGAGGAAATTGGGTGGGTTGGAGCAGGAGATGAGGATTAAGGCGGAGAGACAGAGCTAGAGACAATCCTGTGCGTTCCCTAAACCTCGAACTCGTGGTCGCATTTGTTGCCTGACCTCATAAACTCTTCTTCAGTCCTTCTTAATTTCCAAAACCCTCGTCATGACTGAACCAATTTCATCTTCGGATCTGACTTTCAGCGATTTATCATCCGAGTTCGATAGCCTCCCTGTCCCGTCTATGGATCCGCTCTTTTTATATGGCAACGACCAGGCCATACCCACGGAAGCATTCGCTCCAGATCTTGATTTAGCCATCGAGTTTGGGAATGATGGCGATTTGGATATTTCCTTTGATGATCTCAGCAATCTCCATATTCCTCACGAAACCGATGATTTCCTACTCCCCTATGGATATGCTCAACCGCCTGGATCGCAAGAGTTGAATGACGATGGAGAGCAGTTGAGCTGCTACAGTACCAATTCTGGCTCACATGACATGGACGGTTCTTCAGGTTCCGGCAGTCGGAATCCTGATGTTGCGGAGTTTTTGAATTCACAATCACCTGAGTCCGGTAGCCGCGAGCGTTCTGTGACACACTCTTTGGATAATTCAGGTGATCAGACCTCGCATCATTCACTGCATTTCAAGGTTTCGAGCTTTAAATCGCCAGATTCTGATTCTTGCGATCAGGAGTCTTCTGGTGGGTCCATTTCATCCCAGGATTCCGGCAACGGTGGTTTAGGTGACTTGTGTGCTTATGAAGTGATGAAAACGTCTTCACCGGATTCTCACTGTGATGACAGAGACATTTCTTCTCGTGGGATTGCTGATCAGAATATAAAATTGGAGGACATGGGTAAAAATTGTGATTTGAAAAGGAAGAAGCAACAGAATGAAGGAAATACTGAGGCGAGAACAACGAAGCACCGAAAGTCGTCGATGCCTGTGGAGAATACCACTCAACCGTCTATTCTTAATGCCATCGACGAAGAGGATGAGAAAAGGAAGGCTAGGCTGATGAGGAATCGAGAGAGTGCCCAGCTCTCCAGACAGAGAAAGAAGCACTATGTGGAGGAGCTTGAGGAGAAGGTGAGGTCAATGCATTCTACCATAGCTGATTTAAGCAGTAAGGTATCGTTTGTTATGGCCGAGAATGCTGCTTTGAGACAGCAATTGAGTGCTGGTGGAATGTGCCCGCCACCAGCTCCAGGGATGTACCCTCATCCTCCAATGGCACCCATGACCTATCCATGGGTGCCGTATGCACCCTATGTTATCAAACCGCAAGCTTCTCAGGTTCCTCTGGTTCCAATTCCCAGATTAAAGCCTCAACGGTCGCAATCTGCCCCGAAGGCCAAAAAGTCTGATAATAGGAAGACCGAGGGAAAAACTACGAAGGTCGCCAGCATTAGTTTATTGGGTTTGTTTTTCTTTATATTTCTTTTTGGCGGACTCGTTCCTCTAGTTAGCGTTAAGTTTGGAGGTATAGGGGACAATGTTTCTAGGAGGCCCATCTCTCCTACTGATAGGTTCTATAGTCAGCACGTAGGAAAAGCTTGGGAGGTTAATGGTCATAGAAACAAATCTGAAGGAGAAAATGGAGTAGGATTCTCTAATGGGAATTTGGGTATTTCTGACAGAATGGTATATGAAAAAGGTCGTAAATTAGAAGAAACACTCAGACAGAAGGACTCACCATGTAGAATGAGCTCAGACGATTTTGTTCATAGAGGAAATGCTAGTGAGCCTGAGCCTCTTCTTGCTTCTCTGTATGTTCCAAGGAATGATAAGCTTGTGAAAATTGATGGTAACTTGATAATTCATTCTGTTTTGGCTACTGAGACTGCTCATACAGAAAAGAATACGAGAGAAAATGGATTGGTAATTTCTAAAAATTGGGATTCTGCGCTAGCTATTCCTGAAGTTGGAAGGAACAGAGAACATCCTCAGCCATATAGGAGCCCGTCTGAACCGCCTAAGGCTCTTGCTTCTGGTTCAGCTGAAACATTGAAGAACCATTTGAAGTCAACTGCCACTGATGGTAAAATGCAACAATGGTTTCGTGAAGGTCTTGCTGGTGAGATGCTTTTCCTTTTTTTTTTTTTCTTTCTTTCTAATTTTCCCTTTACATATAGATTGCTTGGTGGGATTGATGCATTTTTTATTTTTATTTTTACCGGCTGTCATAGTTATTGTCTAAACTGGTAGCTAGCCTGTAATACAGATTGTCCAAGTGCACCCCAAAGTTGTCAGAACAATGTGAAAAACGATCATAAATTATTCATCTTAAATTTAGTGATGAGTTTACTTAAATTTTTGAGGTCTTCCATTTTATGAAGCACCCTACCGTGGCCTTTTTTGTAAGTGTGGACTTTGTTTATCTTTTTCTTTGATCGGTATTAATAAATACAATCAGCTGCATGCTCCACTACTTTATGCAATTGTTGTTTTTCTTCCAGAATGCTTGCCAATCATCTCGTGTTGTCTTTGATGACATGTTTTCATGCGGTAGCAATGTCTCCTTTTTGGATTTCCCAATTTTGGTCGATTGAAAGATTGGTATCCAGTGATGGTCTCTATTATCTGTGTAAATTCAGTATTTGCTTTTTTCAGATGGACATCTGTAAACTCACTGTTAGAGTTTTGCATTTTGCATGACCATTAAACAGTTACTATATGTTCCTTAATATAAAGCATTGATGATGGCAACCTAAGAAAACATCTGGAATTTTATAGTCATCTTTTATTGGCAGTTGCTTGTTATTTTCAATAATACTTGGTATGTACAGCAGGCCTAAGTTTTTTGTAATGCTCAGCCTCAGCTCTCCTTACTAACTAGCAAAACATTGACCTTTTGATTTGCACTCTTCATTTCCCATGGTCTAAGTTCTTAAGTAAGGGGGCTTAGTATTTTAAGTTCAACCCTTGTTGGGGACGCCTTAATTGCTGGTTATTTTCTATCCTGTAACGCAACACGTTTGTATAAGCTATGCCAAAGCAGAGAGTTGCATGCCTATTCAGATACCCTTATTTACCACAATTACTGAATGTTCTGATTCCTGAAGCAGGGCCAATGTTGAGTTCTGGGATGTGCACAGAGGTTTTCCAGTTTGATGCCTCGCCGAAACCGGGAGCTATAGTTCCAGCATCGTCAGTAGCAAACGTTTCTGCAGTTAACCGCCGGAATGATACGAGCATCAACAAGAGCAGAAATAGAAGGTTCCTTAGCAAACTTCCACATTCCCGTGCCAGATCCGGTCTCAACACAAGTGAAGAACATCATGTGAGAAATTCCCAAAATGAGAACCTCCATGGTAATAAATCGACATCTTCCATGGTGGTTTCAGTTCTTGTCGATCCCAAAGATGTGGGAGATGGTGACGTGGATGGGGTGATGAAACCTAAATCACTTCCTCAGATTTTTGTGGTTGTGCTTATAGATAGTGTCAAGTACATCACTTACTCGTGTGGTCTTCCTCGTGTATCTCCCCATCTCGTGACTGCCTGATTGCCCCTAGGGATGAAAATCCTTTGGCTGGGACAAAAATGTTTTTGATAGATTATAACGTCTAACCCATGACTCAGTTTCTCCGGCAATCAAGACAGCAACTGAGCTCCAGTTTTGTACATAACTACACGGTTTTTTTTTTTTTTTGACTAATTTTAGTCTACTGAACTTTGTAATAGATTTCACATGTAGACCTTGACTTTATGCAATATTTCAATGTCCTCACTGCCAAGTCGGACTCTAGACGTGAAAGATGAAAGCAAAATGCTCTCACCAACGAGTCACACAATATTTAGATCTTGTTCTCTCCTTTTGTCGGATGCAGAAGAATTGGCTATGTGTGTTAGTAAGACCTATTAGTTTTAAATCTTATTATTTAATTACTAAATCTTTATCTTTAGTAATATATATTTGTCGTATTAATAATTAAAAGTTTACTTTAAAAATTAGAATTTGAGAACCAGAGCATATATATATATATATATATATGCTATGCAGATGCCAAAGCAGCGAGTACGGAAGAAAAAAAGAACACCAATGCAACGTAGACGCCATAAATTAGCGAAAGTTTTTTCTCCTCAGACCTAAATGAGGACTGAAACCTGGGTTCATTATAAAAGATAATCCACCAAAAAAAAAAAAACGATCGAAACTAGCCTCGCGCCCTTAAACCCATAGGCCATAGCATATGGATCAGCCAACCATTGTTCCAAATTCCAACCATTCCCTTATTCATACAATGTATCCGCTTTCAAAAGAAATCATGCCTGGCCACGGTCATCTGTTAAAAAAAAAAACGAGCAGAGATCGAACGCACACACGCGACGTCTGGCGAGCAACAACAAGAACAACGGACAGCGGCAACGGAGAACTTCTGATCGGAGATCTTGTTGAGTAGATAAGTGACAGCGATGCCAAAAGAAGAAGAAGAAGAAGAAGAAAGGAAAGGGAGTCCAGAAAACAGATCAGAGACGACGACGGCGACGAGTGAAGAGAGGAGAGGGAGAGAGGCAGGGAGCACGACGAAAGGAAGGAAAGAGAGCACTTACGAGTTTTTGAGCCAAAAGCCCTTCAATTTTTTTTTTTTTTAATCCAGACACTTCAAGTTTCTAATGGGCTTTTCGGACCTCAACCGAGAGGCTGTAGTTCCAAAACGCACAACCTCGATGCGTTTCGACCTTATCGGCTCCATCAATCATCACTCATCAGACTAGCATTGGCTTGCGATTCAAGTGGAGGCAGAAGAGGAAGCCTGGGAGGGTATTCAATTAATCCCGCTGTGAAAGGTCGAGAGTGAATTAGCGAAGTTTCGTCTTGGTTTTGTAACAGGTTGAGGTAAAATTCATGTGCAAGAAGTATTTGTTTCATTCTCTCTCCCAGCATACTGCTCTGTTTCATGAGAACTTGGTCTTCTGAAATGACTGATATTATCCTGAATGTTGTATCTGGTAGATTGTAGTGATTGTCACGAATTTGATGAAAACTAAAGTTTGAATGGGAATGGCCTGAATACTCAGAGCGTGAGCTGTGGCATGCTAATGAGTGATGTGCCTCTGTGAGGAAAGCTTTGTCTAACTAAAAAGTTGATGAGAGCTAGGAATGCACAAGTTCAGCTGATTGGTTAATTTCCCCCCCCCCCTAAAGGTGTCAAAGAATTTGACTCATGCTTGGGTGTTGTCTGGGGAAGAAATTTAAATGCTTGTTTGACAAATGACAATTCGACGATGTTAACTAAATGCAATTTAAATGGTTGATAAAATGCTTGAAAGGAAAAAAAGAAGTTATACTTAAAGTTGGTAACTAGCTATGGTAGATTGTAAGATACAGCCTTGGCTAGACTTTAATTTATGAGACACTCAACTTTCATATGAGTACATGAGAATAAGAGATGTGGCTTTGAAGCTTCATTACAATTATTAGTGAAGACTGAAGAGTTAAATTACTTGAATAAATTGGATTGTTATAAGGTATGCCACAGCTGCTTATAAATGCTGAGTGTAACTTCCTATTGGGAAATAGGAATTCTTGAACAAGAATCACGCATTCTCCTTCGACACCATCAAGGTGAACAAAATTGGATTTTGAGTGCTTTCCTGTCTAGATGTCCTTGGCCTTTCGATCATCATTTGCTTTTTCAAATCTTCTTGATGAGAATAAGTGTCTTTGGAATGAGAAATTATGGAATGTAACTGCTGAAAAGAGAATTGAAGAGGAAGTTTTAGGTTGGTTTGGTGTGAATTCTTATTGCATCCATTTGATGTATGGTTAATGCTAAACAAGTTAGATTCATAGTTTCTTTAAGTTTATAGATAGGATAATGGTCATCCTTCTTAATTTTATGTTCTGTTTACTTTGAATGCAAGAACTTTATGTTTTGTTTTGTCTCTGTTTTCATGTCATGCACACAACTTCCCACACACACACAGGCTTGATTGTTTCTAATTTCAATCTCATTTTCTTTATAGTTATCAGGTGCATGTATAAATAAATAATATGAAACAACTATTATTCTTAAAAATCGTTTTGTGGGTGAAATACTTAAGGTTTTGCCCTTTTTTTTTTCCGGTGAAGGTCAAAACTCTTATGCTCTCCTTTATAAATTTTCTTCTTTCATAAGAGAAAGGGACACAACTTCTACATATTTAACGGCCAAGAAGCAGAGTCCCACTGTCTGATAGTCAGAATTAATGCAAAATTGAAACAGATGGGAAGCAGAGTCTTTTTGCTCAGGGGATTGTCATACTCATCAGCAATGCGCAATAGCTTCCTTACCACCTCCAGGAGTAGTTGCAACAACTTTGGTTTCCCAAAAGTTACTGTTCCTCACAATAAAGTACGAAGCTGCTCATCAACAAAAATTCAGTCTCCACCACCAGATGTAACTCATTTGGCAGAAACAGCTCGAATTGCTCTTACACCAAATGAGGTGATTCTAACATGATATGACACGATGATTTATTGTTAGGAAGTTTCGTAATTTGGCTGATGATTTTTTCCTGTTATTGATTTTGCTCTTACAGTATTCTTTATGTTATTTTCAGGTGGAAGAATTTGCTCCCAAAATTCAACAAGTGATAGATTGGTAAAGTCTTGTTTTCTCTACCTCAACTCATTAAACGGACTCCTGAATCTCAAACTCCAAGTTGTACAGCATTATGAATTATGAACGTTGCAAAAATGTAACTGAATTGTCTGCGTGCTTTAACATTTAGTTGTTCACTGTTTGTTGAATCATCAAAATGTTTTATTTTTCTCCATCATGTGGCTCCTTTAATAGCATTCTTATGGCTGGAGTACTGCTACTTATAACTGTAAATGTAGATGTGCATTTTTTATAATGTAAACTTCAATGATTATTCAGTTGGTTTAATGCTTTTTGAGCTTATTGTATGATTGTACCTACCCGGCCTTTAGATTTAAATTGGCTCTTGTTGTAGGTTTGGACAGCTTCAAGGTGTTGATCTAGAAAGCATCGAACCCTCCATCAGAGCAGGTTATATATGACCTTTTTGACTTACAACTACTAACGATAATGTCATCCAAGTCTGAGTGGTATTTATTCTGTCTGCATACATCTTGGTTGCAAAATTTATTGAATGTTCTTCATAAATTAGAAAATAGTTATATTTGATCGGCTTGTGTGTTTTCCTTTCCCCTCAATTGCAAAGATGGTCTTATGTGTTTCTTTTGGAGAGAGTACTCTAAACTTGTCCAGTTCTTCTGTAAAGAACACTACATCCATGTTTCAAAGTTTCTAACTTAGTTCCTACTAGAATTGGAGAAAGAGAAATAGAATTATGGTCTTTGTCCTGTCTCACATACCACTTATTGGCAAGTGAATCATGCCATCATCTTTTTACTGATTGCTTCCCTGCTTTTCATCTTGATCAAGTCCTTGTTGGCTAAATGATGCTACTGTGTGATGGATCATAACTTCTTGGAGATCGTAGCTTTTCCCTTTACAGATAAAAAACTATGAAACAACAAACGGTGGGAGGAGGAAAAAAATATACTTATAACAGCAAATGTTGTGCTTCTTGCTTCAAATGGGGATAATTTTTGTTTTTTTGGTCATTTTATCTGCAGATACTGAAAACAACAATGTGCGTGATGATGTTCCTGAGACTTTCAACGACAGGTGAGCAGGTTATTCATTATTTTTCTATGAAACATTATTGGAAATGGTCCAAACAAGGTAGTTTATGCTTGATAGGGGCACCATGGTTGCTTCCATTCCAAGCTACGAGGAGCCTTACATCAAAGTTCCAAAGGTCTTAAACACGGAATGAAATTGGGTAGCTGAGTTTTAGAGGATAAGGAAGTGCATGTAGACAATTGGTTTGTACTGCGTTTCTTTTTAATTTACATCAAATGGCCGAACACCCATTTTGAATTTCTATTGTGGGATTCAATCTATCAACTTTTGCGCTTTCAACTTTCCCCAATGTCATTGTTTCCATGTTGTGAAACATAAACTGAAGCCTCAGCACAAGCAGGTCTGACCAGGAGAAGATGGGGCCTTTTAGGCTAGGTCATGATTCATGAGAGAAAGTATGTTTAATACTCTTGTATAATGTAGAAGGATTTTTGTGTTTCATTTTACTAGTTTTTTTTTTTTAAAAAAAATTCAGGCTGTATCTAAATGACTTTTTTTTTTAAATCTTTTTCTTTAGGTCCCGTTTATTTATTTTTTTCATGAAAAAAATACTTTTTTTGGGAAAAAAATCACTTTGATGAAAATGTTTTATTTGTTTAAATTTTTAAAAATGATTAGAATCTTAAAAAAAAGATTTTGATTATTTTGAGAAACAATTTTGAATAGTTTCTCAATAATCAGATGCTGACAAGTGATATATAACAAAAAAGTCATAAAAGTATTGAGAAACCTGAGAATATAATAAAATTTGAAAATAATAAAATAATAAATAGTTATTTTATGAAAGATCACAGAACACAAAGATATAACAAAAATCAGAAAATTATTAAATAACAATGATTTTTTTAATTGGAACCATATGCAATTTTTTTTTTACGTTTATTTGAAAAAAACTCTATAAAATAAATTGATTACATGAAATATTTAAACTATCTAAATACCACTTGATTTTTTAAGTTTAAATAAACGAAACCCTAAATTGCAATGACTGAGGGCCACTTTTTTTAATAGAAAAATTATACCACTTTTATCTCAATTTATTTATAAGACATTTTTTTTAGAGTTTTGATATTTTAAAATATAAGATATATTAATAAAAATAAAGTTTTAATAATGATACTTTTTTAATATTATTTTTTTCATTACATTCTTTTTTTACTTTTTGGGAGAATCTCGTTGAAGCCCTTAAAATGGAAAAAAAAAAATTACACTTAAGGTTTAATACATTCTAGATTGTCTACAAGTAGGGGTGAGCAAAACCGAACCGAAATCAAAAATCGAACCGAATCGAATTGAATTTTGTCTATTTGATTTAATCTATTTGATTTTTCGATTCGATTCGATTTTTTTATTTTAAATATTTCGGTTGATCGGTTTGATTCGGTTAGTAAAATTTAAAATCGAATAGATCGAACTGACTGAATTACATATAATTTATTAATTTATAAATTATTTTATTTTTATTTTTTATTTTAATAAAGAATAAAAAATAACAACATCACTTGAAACCCTATTTCGGTTAGTCACTCTCATTAGTAGGTATTTGTGACTGGATTATAGGGCCATTATTTGATCATCGGTGTTTATTTGTGATTGTTTATTTGATTATCCATGCCTTTATAATATTTGACTTTATGTCATATGGGTATAATTAGAATGTGCTCATATTAAAAAAATGAATAGAAACAAAGGCCTAATTTTATAGTGTTGTTTGTTTTAATATTTAAAAAATGGACCCAATTTCAATAACTCAATATGAAATTAAAAAACTAAATTAACCGACCGAATCGAATTATCAAATTTCGGTTCGGTCCTTGTTCGGTTCGATTAGTTTGTTCGGTTCAATTCAATTTTTATTTTTAGTGTTATCGATCGATCGGTTCTGCATATTTTGAAACCAAACCAACCAATGCTCACCCCTATCTATAAGTTCAAAGACCCAAATGTTAATATTTTTTTTAAAAATATGCATTTACCCTAAATGTATAAGTTTCTTAGGTGTATACACGGCACAATGTCCACAAAAAATATGACAAGGCTTGTATGAGAACAACACAATATTCATTTATTATAAATAATCGATGTGATTAAGTTGAATTATAATATATAAGTTTTTTAGGTATATATGCAATATAATGTTAGCAAAGAACATGATAGGGTCCATATGTAAACAACACAATGTTTGTTTATCATACATAATTAGTTTGGTTAAGTTAAATAATAATGTATAAGTTTTTTAGGTATATATACAATATAATGTTTATAAAAAACATGACAATATCCATACGTGAACAATACAATGTCCCTTTATTTTACATATTTTATATGGTTAAGTTGAACAATAATGTCCAAATTTTTTGAATACATGTACAATACAATGTTTGTAAAAAAAAAAAAATGACAAGATTCATACATAAATAATAAAATATCCATTTATTATACACAGTCCACATGATTAAGGGTAAATGGGTCTTTTCATGAAAAAGCATATTTGCATTTGGGCTTACAAAAAAATAATAATAATGTATAGGCTTTTGGTGTTATTTTTTTAATTTTAGGGCCTTAGATGCGATTCTCTCTTAATTTTTTCACAAATGGAAGGAATTTTATATTTTTATTTTTAAAAAAATAAAATTATAAAGTAGATTTAATAAGTTTTATTATTATATGTAATTTTATTTAAAGTGTCTAAGTTGGAATAGAGAGAGTATTAAAAATTTCAAAGGAATTTTATTATCCAAATAAAACAATGATTAAATTTTGAAGAAAAGAGAGATTTTATAATTATTTTTTGAAAAATCCAGTGTGAATCTCATGGCTTATTATAGATTTTAACTAATCAAATGATGACATTTTTTTTTTTCCAAGTACAAACTCCAAACATGTTTGTTGGATATAAAAAAAGTTCGAACAGGTTCGTTCAACAATTCGTCAATTCCAACGTTTTTTTAACCTAAAAAAAAAAAACCAAGTCCCTGATATCTCATTGAACTCCAGGCCCAATAGCCGCAATGCCGTTCCAGCCTCCTCCTGGCGCCGTGCAATCCTTGGCTTAAGCATCTCCGTCTTTCTCTTCCGTCGGTATCGGCATCTTCTCTGCTCTGCGAAGAAGAAACAGGTAAGTATCTTTCTCTTCTGTCGTCGTCGCACTGCGATGTTGGTCCCTTGTCTATATGCGTAGGCATCTCTTTCCCTTCGAACGAAGTCTTCCGCGATAATACATAGAAGGAACGAATTAATATAGAAGGAAAATGGCCGAATGGCGCAATGTGATTGTGCTTGCGACCATTTCTTGCTCAATTGAAAATGGTTTCTTGGTCTAAATGAGTTTGGGACTACTTTTTTCTTACGTTAGAGCAACGTAAACGAGTGTTTACGGGTTTCACTTGGGGGATTTGTTTTTCTGCGTAAACTCTTGGGTACTTCTAGTATACCGTATATGTGGGCGTTTGATGCTTATAGCGTGCTTGCGTTAGTTTTTAGCTGATAAAAGGTTAAATTTCTTACATTATATAGATATTAATGAAGTCCAATTGTTAGTACAAAACGCAACAGGGAGATTCACCATTTTTCCCCGTCTGGATTCATTGTGAAAGAGTAAGTGAAGGCCATGGTTCAATTTTCTCAAAACTGAGTATTTACCGGAGAACATATACCAAAATCTCAGTGCATCCCCATTGGGTTTTGTACTTCTGTTATGCTGAAGCCAATCAGGGATAGTCTGGTTTTTGCTTCCCATCCTGTTGTATAATTAGGAATAATTTCACTATGAGCATATTTCTTTTCTTCAGCATTGTTTATTTGTCTACTTATTACAGGTTTTTATTTTGCACTTCTTGTTCTTATCATGTTCTTGGTGTTTTTCCTTCTTTGTATTCATTTTCATGTGCATATGCAAATGCGAAGAACCTTATCTTTATCTGCGTCTACAACACTTTAGATTTGACGTTCCTAGTTATCTTCTGTTTATGACAGCAACAAATCTTCCAAATATCCTAGATGGCGTAAAAATTACGCTCTAACAAATTCTTGCCAGCAGAAAAAAAATCTTTTACAAATCTTGTTAAGGAGTAGTCTAGTGCAATCTGAAATGAATTCCCTGACCCAAGCTAATCAGAACAGTCAGTTACATTCCATTTTTTATATCTATTTTAATGTTGGCAAGTGCAAAGGGACAAAATTTGGTACTTTATGCCAATTTTGAATTAAGAAATGCAGTGTGTTGGCACAAATTCTCATATTTTTTCTGGTTCATTGGAAAATTTTCGGTAGCTTGAATGTGGCCTCTAGTTGATAGTGAATGCTGATAGAAGCAAATGGGTTCAGAAGCATCCTTCCAAACAGCTAAGATTTATCGCCACCTTCTCAAGGCTGTCCAGAAACATATTGGCAAGGAAGACAACAAGAGGCATTTCCTGGAATTCATAAAATTGGAGTTTCGTAAAAACAGCAATCTTTCTGATGGTGCTGCTGTCCAACAGAAAATCAAGCTTGCTCGGGACTACACTTTTATGCTGAATAGCGTGCACCATCACAAGGCAATAATCACTCTCTCTTGTTGCTTTTTTGTCTTTAAACTTTTCTACATACAGACATGAAATTAGATGTTCGAACAGCTGAGCATTTAGCCCTACTCATTCAATTTAAAACTTAACCAGTTAGATGGCCCCATCCTTATTTGCTGTAATGAGGGTAAGAAACCAGGAGGCTGATGGTTTAGTATAGTCAGATTTTTTTGTGTTTTGGTTAATATTTTCCAAGGGATTTTATTTGATTAGTATTAATTGTAATTTTTTTTCAAAGAAACTTATTCACATGTTTATCATTGGCATTCTAACCAATGATTGGTGGTTTTGCAGGATCTATTGTTCTCTTACAATATTGCTGTGGACAGAACTGATGAAATGAAAAGGGTCATTGGAAAATCTGCTGCTGGTGTGGGTCTTCGGCTTCCTGAGGCTTATGAGCCATAATGATTTGCATCAACCGTCAACATACGCCTTTGTTCTACTGGAGACCTTGCCGGCCAGTGTGTTCAAGCATTTCTTTTTCTTTTTCTTTTTAGTTACCGTCACCACTTTCATTTATAGTTATGATTTTATTTGAACAATAGAATAAAACATTAATTGGACAGGAAGATGAGGAATGAACTCTTTTCAATTTTGATTTATCTTAAATCATTTCGAGTTGTATTTTGGTTGGAAAATTACTATTAATTTAAGTTCAAAGTAATTGGTGTATGGAAAACATGTTTGAGGAATAGATTTTTTATTTCCATCTGATTTCAAAGGCATTTGATGCAGGTCACTAAAGATTCAAATTAATCATATTAAATTTTATGCCAATTGAATTGTATAATATTCAATCCATGATAAAGATATGAAACAATCCATAATTATGCATAGCTATGTTCACATGATTATATGATCTAACCAATACAGGGATTTATACAGCTTTCTTCACAAAATAGTTTAAAGGTTTTTTTTTTTAAGGAAAACATGTAAAAATAATTTATTTATAAAATAATTGTATTCATAATTCCATGCTGTCGATCATTGTCAGATATTGAGAGGCATTCATGTTAAGTAATATAAAAGCATGAATTTCCAGGTGCTCAAAAAGTGTGGAGATCGTGCGATTGAGCTGAATTTGAATGCTTGTGGAGCTTGGGAGAACTTTTTTGATGGTGTACATGGTGTATGTACTTCTATTTTACATTGTTAAGTAGTTCAATTATATCAAAATATATAATTAAATCATACATTTTGTTATCTACTATTTTTTTATATTACCATATGAATGAGTCAGATTTAATTATTATTGGGTTTAATTGAAATAATTATTTCAAAATTATTTTCCGCATTCATACAAACTTGAACTTTAAATTTTTATTATCTACTAATATTGAATCTAATAAATTGTTATATGAAACGAAACAAAATGATGTTTGAAACTTGCTTCCCACACTTAGGTCTACGCTGTTGTAAGTTTTATGAGCTCAAATTAAACCTTGTATGATTAATTAAATCTCTATCAAACCTATTTTCCTTAAATAGAAAAATGAATTACGCATTAATATTATGTCTATTTAAATGGATTATCAAAATCAATATAAAATATAAAATTTAAAACATTCTGAGCTCACATGTTTTATACATTGAGAGAAGAGAAACCAATGTTAAATAGTAGTAAAAGTAAATCAAGCGCTGTGACTTATTTTAAGCCTAATCTAGCCAAGCTAGATTTAGGCTTATTTAAATAGATAGACCAATTTTATTTTTATCAGCCTTAGTCTATAAGCTTGATAGGTTAACTTGTTTATATATATTATTATTACGTGATTTATTACACACACACACACGTAATATATGTAATACTATACACACATTATTTAACAATTATGTATGGTGGTTGGTAAGTCTGGTTGTGTGTTTATATATATGTTTTAATAGTTTTAGAGTATATTTTAGACTTTTAAAATCAATATTTATGCCTATTTTGAAATAAATTTTTAGGCCAAGTGAAGTTTTAAGTAAACTCAAAGTCAAGAAAAAAGTTGCGTCCGCATTATTGAGTGCTCATCTCCTGGGCTTCTATTTCAATTTAAATTGATATATACTGTTCATGTAAATTAATTTTTAAATATTTTAAATGTTACATTTATTAATATAAAAATAAAAAAATTCTAATATTAAATTTGGACTATTTAAAGTATATTTAAATGGTTAATTTCTAAAATTTATAACTTTTTAATATTAAATTAGATCATTCAGATTATATTTAAACTGTCTAGAGTCCATCTGAATAATAAAACTGTAAAATTATAAAAAATTAATATTAAATTAGACTGCTAGATTAAATATGTACCGGCTAGATTGATAATGAACAAATTTATTAAAATTTTAAAATTTTCATAATTTTTATATTAATAAATATAATATTAAAAATATTTAATAATTAATTTAAATAAATGATAGATATCAAACTGAAATGGAGAGCCAGGATTGCTCTTGGTGATGAGCACTCGTGACCTAAATGCAAACACAAAAAAGTCTTACATAAGTTTCAAGTTAAATTTAAGCTTGTAGCCTACCATACATGTTTAAATCTATCACTTACATTCTCACACTAATAATAAAATTTAAACTTATGTTCTTGTAAAATATGAACCACACCTTTATTGACAAGATCAATTTTTATTGGTGCCAACTATTCATGAATAATAATTGGAGTGAGTTTGATGCACTGTCAGTCTGCCACATAAGACCCGTGTATATGCCAACAACCACAAGTTCACCCACTCAAAGGACTGATATTTAGGTAATCAGGCTGCATCTCCTCTCAAATTTTGTTCATATATAACCATTAGTAAAGAAAAGGGAACAAGACTTAGGATAAACTAAAGGTTTTTTACATTCATAACAGATATATATAAAGTTAATTAATTATACATTAATACACTAAATAATATCAAGATTTCACTAAATATACTAACCCCAACTCAAAATCTTATTATGGGTTGCTAACTCTAGTCATCTTTGATAGGGGCACGGAGACACCAAATAGTATATATATGCACAACCACGTACACACTATATATCTTGAAGTAGCCTCAACGTAATAAGAGCATTCATGTAGAACCCTCAATTGTTCATGGCTGTTTTGTCCCTCGAGTCAGTGGTTGCCACCGCTTCCTCTGCCGAAGCCGCCACCGCCGCCATAAGCACCGCCACCTGTGCCTGACCCATAACCATACCCGCTTCCAGACCCAGACCCGGAGCCCGATCCAAACCCGTAGCCAAAGCCTCTACCAAAACCAGTGGAGGACCGCCCGGACCCAGACCCATAGCCCCAACCGCTTCCAGGAGCGGAACCCCAACCCCAGCTGTAATCCCAATTTGGACCATGACCCGATCCAGATCCTCCTTCAGGGGTTCCGGCAGCTTGAGGCTCTCCATTGTAACTCATTTCTAAAGAACGAAGCTTTCTTCCGGCGGCAAAACTGACGCGGAAGAAGAAGAAGAAGAAGAGAAGGAGAGTGAAATTGATGAGAAGGTTGGATCTCATTTTTGTACAATTGGTGTGTGGAAGGACACGAGGGTGTATAGTGTATATATAGTGCATGAACAGTTGATTATTTATATTCAGTGGATTTTATCTCCAGTAAAACCCGTGACTGTGTTAGTGCTGGACTATACACCATATATTTCCTTTCGATTCTTTTATATAAAAATTTGAAACACTTGTTTTTTGAATGTCACTTTAGGACCCATCATGTGTAAGGTGTTATTCTTTGAATTTGAAATTTGATTTCTACCTCAACTTTATCATGTGAACTAGTTTCAAATAAAAAGATACATGCATGTTCTAGTAATTTTAATCTTAAAACAAATTATATTAGAAATAGTTGCTTATTAACTTAAGTGGTAAGAGTGAGTGAAGTTAAGGTCTAAAATTCAAACATTCCTGATGTAACCAAAAGCAAATTGACATTAGAATTGAAATATATAGTTCTTAGGAACTTGATAGTAATTGTTCTTTCAAGTTCTTGTTAGTGTTTTCCATTTTCGAATGTCACTAATCTACCCTTAAGAGAATATAATTCAGAACTTTTTTAGCCAAAAATATAATCCAGAATTTGATTCCTAAAAAAACTGGCTCTCAATATTTCAATTTTTTTTTAATTTTACCCTTAACTCTTAGAACTAGACATACCCATTTCTACACACAAACTTGTCAAAGTCATGTTTAAAGTCTGGATTCTTCAAGTTTATTTATACTGGCAAGTGGCAATCTTTCCTGTAATATTTAATCCTAAAAAATTTAGAGGAACGAATGTACAGTATCATTAGTATTGGGGACAAGCGAAAAGCCCTTTTTGGATCTGAAAATTGTGGAGAACTCACATGCATCTTGTAGACTTTAATTTAATCATATATTAAAGTTGAATTCATGTTTGTAATGACAATGACAATAATACAATACAAAATGTCATGAAAAGAAAAACAACCAATAACTTTGAGATGTACGATTTTAATTATTAACCGGATAACATTTTATACACAGTAAATTTTATTTTAAAATATTTGCTTCCTTTTTTTTGTAATTATTCATGGGTATCCTTCTAATTGAGTTAATTATATTTGAGATAAGATGGAGTATTAGATGTGTGCTGTTCTCCTTCTTAAAATTCAAATATTAATTCATCATGTTGCACAAAAATTAACCTTTTTTTTTAAATCAACATTGGTTTGCTCTCTATATGTTCAAGTTAGGAGAAAAAAAAAGGGCACAAGTCGTTCAAATTCTGTGACAAAATCATGAGGTTGGGAAGGTCAAACAGTGAGCCATATCCTTAACTTTCCGACCATATTATTTTACATTAATTTAAAAGGGTCCCCAAATTCCTTCAAATTGTTTTAAAGTACCTTTTAAGTATATGCTGTTGTTATCATACCATGGTGGGTATAGTTCGGTTATGTTATGTTTGTAATATATATTAGTGGACAGTGGCAGAAGTTCAGATTCTTTGAAATATAATGTTTATAAAATATCTTTTAAAAAAAATTAAACGTTCTCATCCGCATCTTATTTCATAAATAGTTTTTTTTTAAAGAATAATATGGTATCCAATGCAATTGAGTTATATTTAAGTATCACTAAATTCAAATAAATAATAGCTTTCCTAACATACATTGGGTCTAGTGGAAGAAATAGTTAATTTCTTCTAACAAAACGAATCAAAATTTAAATTCTTTTAAATGGATTGTCTACATTTAGTATTCAATTAATTGTATCTGAAATATGATTATCTTTAGTAAGAAAATACTTGTGCACAATTAAAAAAAAAGAATATTGAGTCTTTTCCATTCCACTTCGTTATTCTTCACACATCTTATCCAAAAATATATAATGTCTCAGTGGGGAGACAAAAATTATGATATTTATGAGCGTCATACCGATATGTAGATAAGTGAAACTATAACCCATTGATTTCTCTTGCTACTTTTAAGAGATGAAATACTTTTTGAAGATTAGGATTTGGTTTGCATGCGAAAAGTTGGAAGGTGGAAGGGTGATCATTGCTATACGATTGTTGGGCAAATATCTGATGGTGGCTCCCACAGATTGTTTTTGTTTTTGTGTGTTTTTTTTTTTAACAAGGATGCATCAAAAAAGGTTTTCATTTTCATATGACTATTTTTATTATTGATTCCCCCCCCCCCCCCCCCAACCCAATACCAGGAAAAGAGCACAGAAAAATCAAGTGCTAGACAGCTAAAGTATGTGGGCGCCCCACACAAATTGGCTTGAATGGCAAAGATTAAAATATATCATCTCTTTTTAGTGTGAATTTGAATCCTTCTTGAACTGTATTTTTATCTTTTAAAAATTAACAACTTCACATGTAAGAGTTGGTTACATGGCTACGACTAAAAAAGAAAATTATAAGTGGCTTAGATTTGTATAGGCACCTTGTCCAATAATAATCATGATATTAAAACCTGGACCGGATCAGCCGAGTCAACCCGAAAACTAGTGACCCGATCCTTTGTCCGGTCTGAGTTACTCCTAAACCGGTGAGGGAATGAATCGGTGTAACCCGATCAACTCGGGTTTAACTCGGTTAATCCAGTTTTTTTTGAGAATTTTTTTTTATTTTTTATTTTTCAGAATGCTGAATTCAAAAATAAGATAACAAAAAAAAAAGTGAAACCAAAGTCAAAAAATGAAAAATTAGAGATAGAGCGCGCTAAATCTAATTTAGATTTTCAGACAGCATTTAGTTCGGCCTTTCATCAGTGTCTCTCCTCTCTCGCCTTAACTTAATCAGCGTCTCTTCTCTAGTTTAGTCTCCGTCTCTTTTTCAGGCTCCAGCTCTATCTCCGTCTCTTCTCCAGCTCTATCTCTGTCTCTACTATTTTTATCTTTTCTCCAACTTAGTCTCTGACTCTTCGTCTTTTTTCCAATTCAATCTCCGTCTTTTCTCCAGCTCTATCTTCATCTCTTCTCTAGACTTTTGAAATTAAAAAGTTGTAATTATAATAATAGATATTTAAAATGTTGTATTTTATTACTGTTAGACTTTTAATTGGTTGAATGTTTTTATAATTAATGTCTTTTTATTTAAATTGTATTATTTTAATCATGACCAGTTTGCCACCGGTTCAACTCCCGGTTTAACCCTAATTGAACCACTAACCCGTGACCCAGTGTCATGACCAGTTCAATGACCGGTCCGGTTTTACGTACCTTGATAATAATAGAAGTGCCTCCCATTCACTATCAATTTCGTCACATAAATTGTGTAAAATAATTAAAATGTGAGAATAGTAAAACTTGAATAACGAAAAAGAAATTCACTCTCTTAAAATAACAATTTTTTTCATCTATAAAGTTCATATTTTAACATTTTTATTGCTTGTACATGTCTTTTTATTGAAGGCAATTTAACATTATTTAATTTTTTCACTTGCCTAGAAGTTGGCCCGACCACGGCGGAGTGAAATGGACATTCGTTCAAGGTCTTTCAGGTGATTTTAGGCACATCAAACGTGGCACAGTTGCCTGACCTGAGTGCACTCAAGATTGTTCAGTCCACTCCCAAAAGCGAGATCCAATTTCTCAACTCAATGCCTATCATGGACCAACCATGAAGCCAAGCCGGAGATTTTTTTTTTTATTTTTTTTTTCGGCCCCTCTTCAAAAGGTTGAGATTTTCTTTCTTGAGAAGCAAGATCCAGTTTTAGAACTCAATGACTACGATTGTTTTAATGAATGAAGGCTCTTTTAAAAAAATATATATATATATATATATATGTATGTATGTATCACGTATGATTACAAAAATAAGCAGCACTGACGGTAGACATAACATTTCGCATGGCAATCGTGCAAGGATTTGTGTATACTGATATTTCGCTTAACTAACAGAGCAATCACCTGTTGGATAAATCAGAATAATCCCATCATGAAGTGAATTTTTTTCTTTAAAAAAATTAAGAGCAAGTTTTTTTTTTTCTTATTTAGGAAAAGCAGGATGCTAGTCTCAGCAGCCGCCATTTTACCAGAAACAAACATCCAATCAAAGCCTACGAGGAGGAAGGGAATTACCAAGAACAGTGCCGTATTGAAAGAACATAATCTCTAACCTTTCTTGAGTTTTTCTTCTTCTTTGTTTCTGCTATTTAATTGGGCTTGAACAGTTTAGTAAGTCCAAGAAGATGATCTTTTAATCAATGGCTTCATTTGCTTGTCTTCTTCTAGAGAAATCATGCCTAGGTGAGACGGGTCCTCCAGCATCATCTTTGCCACCAGATAACCTGCAATAGACCATGTTTGGTATTTTCTCGCCTGTTTGCCAATATATCTACCGAGTTTGCCATCATAATACTCCGGCCATCCATCCTTCAGTAATCGACTCTCAGCAAGCTCAATCGCTCGTCTTGCTATTTGTGGTCGCCCCGTTTTAATGCAAGCGGCCGTTAGTAGCCACAAGAGCACTGCAATCAAGAGAACAAAGCCAAAATAAAACAAAAGACCCAAAGAAAAAACCATCAATGCCATGCATTTTCATTGTAAAACAAATAGATAAAATGTAGGACAATAGGCATGGCTTCCTTTTGCTGACTCCGGTTAAGCGCCACAATATATTCATCACGTAGCCAAGTTACGGTTATATAGGAATCTTGTGCGGTGGATGCTCAAAATTGGCATGTCACGTGTACTAGAATGTGGATTCCTAAATCTTAATGATGAGGCTTCAAACAATGATCAAAATGCTTTTCAAGGTCAAGGAAACATATAAAACACATGGGCGATTAGAGCTTAGTTATGAAATCAAAATAACCAAGTTAACCTGACTGCAGCCCAAGCTAAGTTTATTTTGAATAATTAAACATGATGAGAAAAGGGAAGAACCTGGCCAAGATCCTCCATTATGGTAACTCCATCTGGTATTTTTGGGATCACAACCAGTAACAATTTGCCACTCATGACCCTCTATTGCGGGATAACATATTTTTAATGGCATTTCTCCTACCAACTCATCCCAGCGGGCTTCAATAAGATCCATTATAGCCATTGACTGCTCTGGAG